GGGGGGGGGCTCTTCTGAGCATGCTCTGTGGTGGAAAGACAACCTCCTGAGCAGGCTGAAGAAAGAGTGAAGATTCTATTGCAGGTGACCGGTGGGGAAAAGAGGTTGGTTGTCTTCTATTGTGGCAGGCTAGCTTTGAGGAAGAACCAGGGTTTGCCAAGTTCTCTCTTCGTGGGAGAAAACTGGGTGCCAAAGTGAACAATAAGCAGGGAGAAAGTAAGTCCATCTCTGTATTCCCGTCTCTGGACATGTGAATTCAGCAGCACTGACATGAGCAGAAAGAGAATGGAGCTTTCTGTAGCTGGAGAGATCCTTTATTTTGAACGATCTGCCAGTGGGTGTAGTTGGGCACATGAGCAGTTCCCCCTCTGATGTCTCACGGGACCTCTGAAGAAGCGCCTTTTCAAAATACAGTCTGTTGATGGAGAATTTCTCTTGCCAGAATTTCTCTTGCCTCCTCCTTTTGGTAGGTGGTGGGAATGACTGCTGTCTTGATGCATCCTGAAGTTGTGTGTTCACAAGGCAGAAAACACTCACCTTCCCAGCAGCTCTCTCCTGGGTTCTGTCTCCCAGCCCAGCTGGCCCCAATCGGCCTCTGCCTAGGAGGAGGGGAAGGGAGGGTGGAGGAGGAGGGGCACTCTTTCAGGTCTACTTCACTCAGCGTCATCTGGATGGAAGAGCAGAAAGGCAGGCATACCCTCTTGGACTGGACAATGAAACAGGCCAGAGCTGGCAGAATTGCTTCTGGGTTGTCCTCCCAAAGTGTCTGACGGGACTTTCTCAGGAAGAGCCCTCTTTGCCCTGGGGCAGGGTTGGCATTTCAAGACCCAGCCTCTTCCTGCAGGGTCCCCTACAGCCACCTTCTGGGAAAAGAGGGGCCCTCGGGCCTCTCGACATATGAGGGGCCTCAGCATGGAGAAGGAACAGCTTCGGCTCCTCTTGCGGTTCCAAAGCCACGGCTCCGTCCCCCCCCCCAATGTCCCTGGAAAGGGATGTTACATGTCCTTGGCAGGTGTGCCCCGATCTCAGCTGGAACCTCTCTGCCCCTCCACAGATCGTAAAGGACAGCAGAGAGGCTTTGCTGCAGATCTTCTGCCTGGGGAAAGGGGGAAAGGCCCCAAGTGATTCCTGTCCTCTTTGGAGCCTCAGCCAGGAGCTGGGATGTTCACCTCCCCCCTCCACGCTTGCTCTCCCCATCTACTCACCTCCTCCTCCTCCAGACGTCCGTGAGCCTGGCCCAGGAGTGAGTACAGGCAGAAGAGGCCTCCCTCCCTCACGGCCTGGCCAGGCTCAAGGCGTCCTCCAGAGCCGCCCCCTGGAAGGAGAGCCTCTGCCCCAGCTGAGGTGCACCCGGAGCACTTCTTTTTGCTGAGGCCTGAGAAGACGACAGCAGGAGCTCAAGCCTACGTGCCCTGCACAGAGCAGCCATACCGCTCTCTGGCCTGGGCGTGTCTCTTCCCTTGGGACCAGTCCTGGCTATGCTGGGCCTCCCTCCACCTCACACCTCGGAGGAGGGCTGGGGCCATCGGGACCAGTTGGGAGAACATCCAGAAATGCAGCTGAATCAGCTGTGGATGTCTAGGGATGTCAGCTCTGGGGAAGACGCCTCTGGACAGAAGGAGCTCTGATGGCCATAAAGGGAGGGAGGGAGGCAGAGGACGATGTCCAACGGCTGGCCGATGACCTCCCTAGCCTTCTCCCGGATGCCCGCTTCCGGGTCGGCCAGGGAGACGGCCAGCTTCGCCACCAGGCTGCCCAAGGAGTCCTCCCCGTTGATCTAGAGGGACGGAGAAGACGAGGCCTCTCTTGCCCATCCACAGGCAGCACAGGAGCTCTGCACCGTCTGCATCCTCCCCCTCCTGCCCCCCCCCCGAATCCAAGGGGGTCCTCTTAGTGGAGAGGGGAGAATGGCCCAGGGTCAGACTCTCCAGCATCTGTGGGAGAAGTCAAAAGAAAGGAAGGAAGGAGTCCAGAGGAGGACCAGGCCTCAGCTTCCCCCTCCAAGAGCGGGGCAGCCCCGCTTCTCTTGCTTTGCCCCATAGCTCTTGGAGACAAGCCATATTGGGGGGGGAAGGGGGGACTTACGTTGAAGGAGAGCAGCCTGGTGGCCCCTCACCCTCACCCAGTAGAGTATTTGCTGTGGAAGGAAGCGGCCCCTCAGTCTCTTCGTCCCCGGCCAGGACGTGGCACGGCCCCCTTGCCAGACTGTATGCAGCCATGCCCGCCCACCAAGAACTCTGCTCCTCTGCAAAGAGAACCCCCTGGGGGGGCAGTCCCTCGTTTCGAAAGGGGCTCTGCTCCTGAGGGATAGCTGCCTGCGCACATCCAGGTCTTGACAGGCAGAGAGCTGCACCTCAGCCATCCAGAGGAGACAGGACCGGCAGGCATCTTTGCCACACTCTCAACAAGGCGATTGGCATTCAGCGTACCTGGCCTTCACTGTCGTTGTGGCCTGGGCTCCCGCTGAGGACCAGCCCCAGAGCCCAGGCCACCATGGAGGTTCTCAGCTCCAGGCTGAGGGGAGGCTGAAATTTGCTGGCAGGAGGGAAGGGCAAGGATTAGACTCCGTGGTGCAAGGGAGGGGCGAGTCATCCCGCCTTCGGGGTGCACTGACTGAGCCACCCCCACTGCCCCCTCAGGCCATGAACTGACAAACGCCTCAGCGCGGAGCAGCGTGACGGTGATGGTGGGGGAGGGGAATAGCGGTGCAGCTGCTGAAGCGGAGTGAGAACCTCCATGATGCACCGCTCCCCGTTGGAAGGCGGGGTTCAGCCCCGAGGCGCTCTGGCCGCGTCTCCCTGGGGTGAGGCAGACTGCAGCCATGACCTCTGGGAGCCCCCAGCTCCTCCCTGGCACCGCTCCCTTGGGCCGCTCCTGCTCCTCAGCCTGAAACCCCAGCACTGGCTGCTTCGCCCGCTCCTCCCAGGGCTCCCCCCACCTTGGACTGCTGGGCACGAAGGTTCTCTCAGCCAAAGACGTACTTCAGCTCGGTCACGGCCCTCATGGCCTGGAGGAATTTGGGCTCCATGCCAAAAAAAGAATCCAGCATGATTTCCTGGGAGAGATGGAGGGGGCAAATGAGAGGCGGTCAGCTGTCCCTGGACTCAGGCAGGGTGGCCACAGCCCCACGTCCCCTCCTTCCTCCCGCTCTTTGGCTTCCCCAAAACCTGCACGCGAGTCCTTGGAATGACTCTATGAGCTGCGAGTGGATTCCCCCCTGCCTTTCACCAAGAGTTTCCAAGGCAATCGAAGTGGGAAATCAGTGAGGTCTTAGCCTGCCATCAGCACAACGGAGGAAGAAGCAATCAAACAGCAGGCCGAAGAAACAGCCAAATCCACACACCCCCAAATAATCTCCCACCCGCCCCCATCCCAGGGGCCCTGAGTCTCACTCACCTTTATCTTCTCCCCAATGGCCTCCTTTGGGAAGGGAAGGGTGGTCTTCCCTCCCCTCTCCAGGGCCCCGCAGACTTTGAGGATGGCACCCAAAAAGTGCTTGTGGTGTTTCCTGCCCTGGAAGTGGCGAGAGTGAGGCTGTGAGCCTGGCCACCACCCCCTATAGTTGGAAAGCCTGAACACCAGGACGTGACGTCATCAAAGGTAGTCATAACAGTCCCTGAACTCTGCAGTTGCCAGCTACTTTCACAAGTGTTTTAACTTTCAGTTTCTCGTGTACTCAACAAGATATTTTCTTGATTCTTTCACTGCAGTATTCCAGATTCTTCACACTAGCTTACAGTGTTAAGGAGTTCAGTTCCCTTTGCATATTTGAGTGTATGTTTCGTATAATTTACAAGCATATAATAGGGGAAAGTGGTGGATGTCTGTTGTATGATGGTATTGTCAAATAATACTAAGAGTTTAATAACTTCTGGTTTTCAGCATTACTTTTTATTTACCATTGACACAGCATGAGATATTAATATGCACAAACTCATACTTAGGTAAGAAGTTTTCACAAACAGTAAACTTCAATTATAATCTCCAGTTACCAAAAAAAACAACAACCCAGCTACACTGGATATTGGTGTACAAAGTTCATTGTGAGTACATTCACAAACGTTCAAGGGAACCAACAAATGTAATAGAGAGTACAACAATCAATCTTCCTATGGAACTTATTTTGAGTAAATTAGTAAATTAGAGGAAAATATAGAAACTTCATATTGGGGCCTTCAATGAATCTAAATGTCACCAGTTGTCATTTCAACTCACGTTGTTGCACTTCACAGTGGTTTAAAGTTAGCACACTGCTTCAATAAGATTTCACCACAGTAC